TGAGCTAAGAAAATGTTTATCTCCCTGAGCTTGGCCTTCATAATTCCATTCCATCACATTTTGGGTACAACCTGAAGGTTCAGGAGAGATGATGTAAACCTTTTTTTTGGTATTTTATTTTATATTTTTATATTTTATACTATTGTGGGTGGCCTTTCACTGATGCGTGTTAATAGAGGGATTCAATTGATATAACTCTTATATTCATTATGAATATAAATCAGAGGTTGAACCATTAATGTGTTATGTAACATGGCTGCTTAGATACTGTTGTTGCCAAGGCATGAAATGTGGTTACCCTTTAAATAATAATTTAATTTGGTTAGACGTAAAAAATAATGTGCAACAGATTCTAGAATGGCAACCTTGTATTTTTCTCCTCTAGGTTTTCCAGCCATATGCAAAGTGGTGGCTGGGTCCTTTACTGCAGCTGGTTGTTTCTGGAGATAATGGAGGAGAAGGAATTCATTACATGGTGGTGGAGATAGTGGTCACCCTGCTTTCATGGACTAGTGTGGCAACTCCTAAAGTAAGAAATGTAGTATTTGGTTATAATAAGGTGGACATATATACGTACTGCCCTTTTTTTTCTTTTTTGGCTGCCTTCAAGTCAGTCTTGATTCCTGGCAACTGCATGGAGATGCTTTGCGGTTTTCTTGGCAACGTTTTCAGAAGTGCTTTGCACTTGCCTTCTTTCTAGGGCCAAGAGACAATGACTGGTCCAAAGTCACCCAGCTGGCCAGAATTCCCAGTCTTCTGGCTTCGCATCCAGTGCCCCTAAGTACTACATCATCTGGCTGGCTGCTTACCATTAAGAAAGGCAAATTTAGGAAGAGCAAAATGCATCTGTTCTTAATAGGAAAGTCTCTGGTAATTTATGTACCACTGGAAGATGTTAAATGCCTTTGCAGCAGTATTCTGATGAGATAATATAGTGAGCATATTCTGAGAATGTATATTATAAATGAAAACTTAACGCTGTCCTGAGTAGTCTTGTATTGCTGACATGACAATGTTCTTCTGCTCTTGAAAAATTAATCAGCATACAATATGTGATCATCCTTTTAATGGTACAGTTAATTCTTAATAGTGTTGTGAGCCTTCAGATATGTGTATTCCTCATTTGACAATATAATTATATTTGATATTATATAAGCTGCATTTAGATAAATTGGCTACATCAGCTGCTTTTAAAATAGGAAATAGGAATGCAACAAATGAGCTTCAAGCTCAATTTTAAGGCCTTCAGAAACAAAATAATTCATAATAACTATACAAGTTAAAACGTAACAGAAACTTTAGTTCTAGTTATATTACAGTTCCATAGTTTTAATTTGAAAGCAAAATATATATGCCAAATTTATTTTATAGATTTACATGTGATACTTTCTACCAGCAAATAATCGTTAGCTCAAAGACTTGATTTTTTTTCCTTTCTCTTCCCTGTGATCTTCTTTTTTGTATTTTTGTCATAGCCATAGTTCTTAAGAACTGAGAAGGGTCTTCCCAAAATAATATTGGGACATTTGTATGTATATAAATAGAGAGCTGGTTTGATGTAGCGGTTGAGGCATCAGGCTAGAAATCAGGAGACTGTGAGTTGTAGTCCTGCCTTAGACACAAAGCCAGCTGAATGGTCTTGGGCCAGTCACTCTCTTTCAGCCCTAACAAGGAGGCAATGGCAAACCACTTCCAAAATCTTGCCAAGAAAACTGCAGGGACTAGTCCAGGCATTCACCAGGAATCAAAAACTGACTCAAGGGCACAAAAAAAATGTATATGAATAAACATGCACATATTTATGTATTGATCTGACCTTAAAGCAGTATCTTAATTTAGCCCTACCTACATCAGTGGCTGACCATTTTTCGGGTGAGAGCCACATTTTTACTAGACATTGTTGGAGGAGAGCCATGTTAGTCTATGGTGGCAAAAAAATCAGAATCTGGTAGCACATGTTAATAACACATTTTATTAAAAGGTGCCACTCTGCATCTGATGAAATGAGCTAGAGCTCACAAAAGCTTATGTTTTTAAATAAAATATATTAGTTGGAAAAAATATTACCAGACATCTGATTCTTACCAGGATAATCAGTTGGAGGTTGGCTGCCACTGATGGATGAGGAAAAGGTAGATGGAGTGTGGAACCATGCTGTTCATGACTGTTTTCTGAAAAGACTGCAGGAAGGAGGATTTGCAGAAGGCTTTTGAGATTTTGAACATGGGCTACTTCATGTTAATTAGCATTATATTCATTAACTTGACATTGATACAGGCTCAGGTATTTATTCTCTTTTTCTGTATATATATGAAAAGCAGTTCCAAATAGGGTCAAAATTGTAGCCTTGGGGTTAATATCTATTTAGATTAGGAGTGGACAACTGCAGCTGTAGGGCTACAACTGACCTGCAGTGTAATCTCAAAAGCTTTCAGCAAGCCCTTTCCCCTGTAACCTTTGTGTCTGTAGATGCCAAAACTGAGTGTTGCAAAGCAATGGTGTGTGTGTGTATGTGTGTTTTGTCTGTCTTGAATCTTGTGCCAGGGTAGTTGATTTATACTGCAGCTTGAGAACCAGCACTTTAGTACATATATTTTAACACAGTGCCAAGGTTCTCATGATAAGCTGTCTTTTCTGAATATTTGTTAGTCCTAACAAGGGGAAAACTCGGCAAGCTTGAATATAATATGTTTAAGGTGACATACATTTTGTCATTTTATAAGCAAAGAGGAAACACACACCTTTCTATTGTTTGACATGTACTATTATTGTGTTGCAGGATGAGTACTTGTTCACATTTACAAGAGATTATTAATCATGTTAAATGAACTTCACACCCTTTCATTTTGAGCACTGAGTAATGGCACAAAAGTGTCCTATACGAAATAAATGAGTATACTTTTGTACGTGAATATCTGCAATATGCTTTTTTTCTAATTCCTTCATATTAGGGAAACATTAAGGATGAAGTCTTGGCAAACAGGTTGTTAGAGTTCCTAATGAAAAATGTGTTTCATCAGAAAAGAGCAGTGTTTAGACATAACCTAGAAATAATCAAGACAGTAATAGAGTGCTGGAAGGACTGTCTGAGCATCCCTTACAGGTAAATAATGGCAATAAGATATGGTTGAATATATACAGCTCTCAAGAGCTATAGCAAAGCTGGGAATGGGTGACTTTCTGGATACTGCTGAACTACAACAGCAGCCCCAGCAGGCATGGGCCATACTAAAAGATGCTGGTAATTGAAGTTCAGCAATAGTTGGCCTGCTGGTTTATACCAAAGCCTGCTTTTTAAGGAAACTTGGACTGATTTGTTATAGTATACTTGGTGATTTGAGACTATATATACAAACTTGGACTGTGGTTTCCTGTAGAAAAATTAAAGGTCATGGAGTCAGTGCCATTAGAAGATTAAATAAGGGATGATTGGAGAAAGAGACTCATTCCCCATTTTGATAGAAAGAGGCTTCCAACAGTGGATTAACTTCAGTCATCTCAAAAATGCATGGTTCATGAGATGAATGACTTGGATTGAAATTTAGTTATTTTCTACATCCCATCTACTCTCTTTTTTCCCCCAGAACAAAGTTCTCTCTTTGTTTATTCCTAAAGCCACTTCTTTCCTGAAGCTTTTATTTCTTAAACTGTCTCATTTTCTGCCCAAGGTCCTTTCACTTGTCTAAGGAGAATATCTGCCAAAACTATCAAAGCTATTTATCTCTCACCTCCGAAATCAAGCATTTTTATACACCATTTGTATGCTTTTATTCTTTTCACTGGGAATCAAACTTTTCTAGTTCTGGCAGAACTAGATGGCTTATGACATATGTTTCTATAATCCATGAAAACAGATACCCTTCTTTGTTTTGACATGTCATAACACAGTGTATCCAAGTTGTACCCTCTATGACAACTTTCTTTACCAGTGAGTCTCATACAGAAGTCAGCGAGCACAGAGACTCCTCAATAAATTTCTGTTGCAAGCTGAGATAAAATGAAGGAAGATTAAGAGGGCACTGAACAATTCAGGTTTTGTGGGGGATTTTTTGCATGAACCTTGCCTTTGCTTAGTGATAGTGAAATTTAAAACATTGTTATTAATTTATATTATTTATTTGTAATAGCTGTACTCTGCCTTACCTCCAGAAATTCAAGGCAGCATACGCAGCATTCCCTCCATTTTTTTTTTTTCTCACAAGAACAATTCTGTGCACTAGATTGAACTGATAGAGAGTGACTGGACTATAATCATCCAGTCAGCTTCCATGGCTAAGGGTGGATTTGACACTGGGTCTCCCAAATCCTAGACCAAGGCTTCAACTTCATCTAAGGGATACTGGCTCTTTTATTAGATGCCTCCATTGTACCAAACCAGAAAGGATTTTAATAAGGATTAAGTTTTTGCATTACGCTAAGTCATTTGTGTGGGCTGCCTAAGCTTGTTAAGTAATCCCAGCTATTGTTTAAGATTTATGGCTTACTGTGTTATAGTCACTTAGCCAGTGTGCTGTCTACTCAACAATCGCTATTTAGGTAAATTATGGCTTAGTGTGATGAGTGATTCCAGTTATTAAGTGAGCAGTGTTTTGCTGTACATTCTTTCTCAATACAAAACACAGACCTGACTTTTGAGTTTTCTCAAGCAGTACCAATGGTTACTTGCTATTTTCAGTACCTTCACCCGTGTCTTTGCTTGCTGCAGGATAATATTCGAACAATTTTCTGGTGGAGATGCTAATACAAAAGACAATTCGGTGGGAATTCAATTATTAGGAATTGTTCTTGCTAATAATTTGCCTCCATATGATCCAAAGTGTGAAATAGATAGTATAAGGTAAGAACTACAACTTCCTGAAATAATGTAATATTACTGTTAAGGTATACTGAGCATAAAACATTCGGCCAAGAAGGAAGTTTTGCAGATAGGAAGTGATAATCCCAAAATGCATGGATTGACTGTCTGCTTTGGAAAACAAATGGAGAAATTAATGTCTATTTTAGTAGCTAGTAGTAGTCATTTTTCTTGGGAGCAGCTAGTTTCAACATTCAAAATCAGTGCTGCTTTGGATGTTTTTTGAGTTTTGGATTAAAGAATTTAATTGCTTTTTGTTATATTACATATTTATGAATGTGCTTCAGAACTCTTACACTTGGACCTGTTTCAAATGTGGGAAAGAGGCACATGTGTTAGGATGATACAGGAATTTTCAGTGAATGCAAATTAACTACCTTAAATTTAGAGAATTTATAATAGAATTGGGAGATATAAAAGACAGATATAGATCTGGGGCTGTTGAGGCTTTACCTGAAGATTTCAAGAAATAGTGAAAGCAGTTTATTTTTGAATTACATGCATTAGAAATTTGGTAAATCATCCTGTTGCAACTAAATGTAAAAGAAGTGAGAAAATTATTCATCTTAATATATGTCAAGGAAATAAATATGCATTTTGTGAGAACTAAACAATATTTATTATTTATGTTAGATACTTCCAAGCATTGTCTAACAACATGGCTCTAATAAGATACAAGGAAGTGTATGCTGCTGCTGCTGAAGTACTAGGACTCATTCTTCAGTACACTGCCGAGAAAGAAAATGTGAGGACAGTATGCTTTACATTTTATGATTCTAGAACCTAAGAGTTAGCTTTTTAAAGTGCAACTTAACTTTTAATCTACTACCTAAAATATTATGGGTTTACTTTATCTAGTCTGTTGAATATAGCATTGAAAGATAAAACAGTGACTTGATAAATATTGCAAAAGATTGGAATTACCTTGCTGGATCTCATGAAAGATCCTTTTAACCCAGTACTCCTTCTCCAGGAGTGACCAGCTATTTGATTCTTAAGTAGCTATAGCAGGAATAGTTTGCAGCATTATGATAAAAGTATCCTTCATTTGTCTCTGCATGAGGATTTATGGGCACTGAAAAAGAAAAGTGTTTTTTATGGAATTTTCTTAAAAGAATAACTGAGGAGGTCACTTCCAATTAATAGCAGTAGTTTTAATTATTGCTAAAGTATTTTGCCAGCATGTTTACATATTTACATATGTTCATTTTTCAGACATTTGAAGGTCCAATTTATGACATGGTCATAAAACAATTAAAGCTGCATCAGAACACTAGAGATGACAAATTTATTGTATGCCTGAATAAAGTCACAAAGAACTTCCCTCCTCTTGCTGATAGGTATATTAAAATTATGAGTGGCTCTGTACTGTTGAGGCAATGAGTTAATAGCTTAGTATAACTGCTCATACTTTCTGTTTTTTGACCATGGGAAGATTTATGAACGTTGTCTTCTTTTTGATACCAAAACTTCATGGAGTAATGAAAACTCACTGCTTGGAAGTAGTAATGTGCCGTGCCCAAGAAACAGCTGATCTGTACTTACAGTTGAAGAGTAAGGAATTCACACAAGTCATGTGTCACAGGTGAGTGAAGGCATGAGTGGTAATTATTCCTTGGTAGAACAGTCCATCTTAAAAAGGCCTTTGAACAAACTCCATTTAAACGAATGGGAGTAGATCAAGGTGGGTTTTTTTTGTCATTTTGTTCTGATTACAGAGAATGTGGGGATTCTGTCTCTCCTCAGTTTTGATGGGGCATTTGATATGATTCCCCATGATCAGTAATGAAGGCAACAAAGGTGTTTTATTCATTCTTCCCTTAGAGATGATGAAAGGCAAACAATATGCTTAAATATTGTATACAAGATGTTACCTAAGCTGAAACCAACTGAAGTATTAGAGCTCCTTCCTACAATAACAGGGTTCATTTCTCATCCTTCACCATTATGTCGGGGCCAAATGTATGATATTCTCATGTGGATATACGATAACTACAGGTAAAGACTCACATCGATATTATTATAAATCATTGTTCTGAAGCTGTTTTACCATTTCTAGGATCCTAGATCTCTGTGGTCTGCTCATTAGTTTAATTTAATTTATTAAATTTATATGCTGCCTGACAAAATACCCAGGCTGAAAAATAGGCTTTGATTAGAATTATTTACTTCCAAAAAAAAAAATGGAGTTGATTGGACTCTTCTTTCTTTATTTTATTTCCTCCTACCAAAGAACATTGTCTTTTTTCCTCCCATTTTCATCTTCCTGGCTTTAGAAAGCCGCAGAACAAAATGCCTCAATGCCTTGTTTCTACGTGACTGAATTTCTACCAGCTCTTTTTGCCCAAACCAGCAAGGAAAAGGAAGTGTTGGACGTTGCACAAGGAGGCTTGGGTCATATTCATCCTGCAGATTGTTTTCTTCTGCCATAATGCAGATTTGCAGTTAAAGGGAGAAAAAACTGAAAAAGGCAGTTAGATACCGGTAGTCCCCAGTTTAAGAACGAGTTCCATTCCCAAGGTCTGTCCTTAAGTCGAATTTGTATGTGAGCCAAACAGTTTTATTGTATAATACTGTATAAGTAGTATTGTATAATGAACTCGAACTGTTGTGTATTTAACTTGAATCATTGTGTATTTAACTTGAATTTTGCTACATTAGGCTCCGTTCTTAACTATGGGTCGCCTGTAAAACGGGTGTTCTTAACCTGGGGACTACCTGTATTCCAGATTTACTATGTATTAGCCAGTTATGTCTTTTGTTCCTCTTTTTCCACTTCAGGGAAATTTCAGAATTCACATTCGTTAACTCTTGATTTTACATTTGAATGCTACATATGAGGTGTATGTCATGTAGTCAGGCTTTCACATATAACATAGTAGGGATGTGCAAACCATCACCACATACACACTTGTGTAATAGGAACGTGCAAAACCTACTCTCTAGGAACAAAACATTCTGGAGAATATGTATGAATTTGTACATATGCACATTATAGCAAATCTGCCATTAGCTGAATTTCTATGCTCTTGGGTTTTTCAGTAGTTCAGTGAAGTAAGGGGGAGTGGCTTGAGTAGAAAAACTTCTCATAGAATCTGCAAACCAGAGAAGTGCTATTGGTAGGAGCATCAGCAGAAGTAGAGAGTCTGAGGGTTGAAAAGAAAGGCCACTCAATGAATACTGATAGAATAGGCAGAGAGTTTAGTTACAGAAATTTGACAAGAACAATAGTTGGAGGAGATGATCAAGGGAAGAAGGAAAGAATATGGAGTACAGCTGAACGAAAAAGCTGGTGAAAACCTCAGAATACATAATCTCTGTTTACTAGAGATTATGTGCTGAGGGAAGGAATGTGATGTAGAGACAGGATATTAAACAGGCTAAGGATTCAGAACCAGATTAGGAACAAGATAAAGAGGCACATGAAGTAATTTTGTGTTCCTCTTCAAAATTTATCTTACCATGGAAGTCTTTGGAGCAGCTCCAAATATTCTTTTGCAACTTAGCCAGAGTACATACAACTGAAAAAAATGCATTTCCTTTTCTTTGTTTTGCTTGAGTTTGTAAGCCCCTCTTTTGGATCTGTATATCTGAGGAGATACTTGAAGCTTATTATTTAATAGCCATATCTGAATGTAAACACATAAATAGCTTTCTTTTGTCAATTATATATTGATATTCTGAGTGGCCTCATGTAATAAATTTTACCCGGTGCAAACTGTCATCAATGTTTTTGTGTGAGTGATTGAGTTTCAGTAGAATATGAAGTTGAACTTTTTTCTATCAGTGATTCAGAAAGTCAAGCAGATGAGGAATCTTCAAAAGTGTTGAAACTGGCAAAAGAATTTTTACTTCAAGGACTGATTGATGAGAATTCTGGACTACAGTGAGTAATGTAAATTTTATTCTGGAAATCAGAATTTTAAGAAACCCATTGCAAAATTGTGCATGTTATGCACATCAAGATCCCAGACTAAACTGTAATTTAATTTTAAATTGAGTTGAAAAGTATAATCTTGTTTATTCAAAATGATACAGAATTGCAGTCTAAATGGCTTAACAAATTCTGAACTTTTTTTTGTGAAGGTTGGATTTAAGCAAAATTTTGTGTCTGTAATTTGGGAATGACATATAGGTAATCCTCGCTTACTGACTTTGTTCAGCAACCATCCAAAGTTACGGCAGTGCTGAAAAAATAACTTTACAGCCCATTTACGACCATTGCAGCATCCCTCAGTCACATGATCACCATTGCAGTCAGTATGCGTTGTCCTGTGCCTGACCTGTGTCTTTTTCTTTTTCCCCCCAACTGCAGAGCAGATTGATTGGAGAGGTAGAGATTACAAGAAAGTAAGCTGTTTGCCCTTCTACACATCTAAAGCAATGCGATCGTGCCAGCAGCCCAGGCCTGGGAGCCATGTGCATTCGACACAAACACTACTCTTTTGAAATCTCTCTCTCCAAGGTCTCTGCTGTGTCAAGTGGGGGGAAGGGTCAGGCAAAGGAGAGATTGGCTACAGAAATTGCCTGCTTTTTTTCTCCTCCCCCTCACAGAGCAGAGATTGGAGAGAAAGAGATTTCAAGAGAGTAAGATGTTTGCTCTTCTACACATGGAGAGCAATGCGATCGCGCCAGCAGCAGGAAAGTGTCAGACAAAGGAGAGATTGCCTACAGAAATTGCTTGCCTACAGAAATTGTAGTGCACCTATGGCTCTCAGCCCTGGGCTGCTGGTGGAATCGCATTGCTTTCAATGTGTACAAAACGGTAAGCAGGCACTTGAGCATTCCAAAGGGCAGGGGACTAGTTAGAAGGCAAACAAAAGCTGGAGGTGTGAAAACGACTAGTCTTGTCTCTTTCCAGCCAGAAAGCACAGTTGCAGTCACATGGATTCCAACTTAGTGACAGCTTCCCTTAGTGGCGGAGTTGCCAGTCCCAATTAGGGTTGTTAAGCGAGAACTACCTGTATGGGACTTGAATCTCTCCCAACAAGATTTATCTATTGAAGGATCATTCACCCTGCATTTTGGGGGAACATTCTGTTCACTACTGTTCTTTCCTAGCATAAAAAAGGAAATTCTATCAATAAGTTCAGGTCACTATTTTCATATTTTTTCTTTGATAAATAAAAGGTCTATGGGGTGATGTAGCTAGACATAAGGATATGTTGCCATGTCATGCACTAAGTGCTTTATTCACATATTTACACAGCTACAGAATTATTTGAACCTGACATTTGCATATTTATTTTCTTTTGCAGATTAATTGTTAGGAATTTTTGGAGTGATGAAACTAGGTTACCAACAAATACTCTTGATCGCATGTTGTCTTTGCTAAAGTGTTTGTACTGTGACAAAATTGAAACTCAGTATTTGAGTTTAGCTACAAATTTTCTCCTTGAAATGACCAGCAAAAGCCCAGATTATTCCAGAAAAATGTTTGAATATCCACTTTCAGAATGTAAATTTCAGGTGAATGTATATTATTTTGCATTGTATAAGAGTTTATTGGAGTACTTTTTAAAAACTAAAATACCTTAGGTCAAAGAGAGATCATTTTTTAAAATATTTATTTTATTACATTAATTATAATTTTGATGTTAATTCTTTGCTTTATTAGAAGCAAAATGAGATACTAATTTTGATTATTACATTAAAAACCTGAAAAATAGAAACTGCATTTCTATTTTTACCTTGATAAATTTTATTGATATTAAAATTATCATTTACTGCTATATTACTCACAATGAAGAAAAATGGAAGAGAGGAATATGGTGAATTACGGTGCTCATTATTCCATACTAGTTTTATGCATCTCCAAAAAAGTATGAACCTTTAATTTCCTTATGAAATATTTACAAAGGTTGCATGTTTTAATATGGTGCCACCTACAATTTGTTGTGTTTTTGATGGGGGGAGAGGGATAATGTTTTCCTATTTTTATGCATATGTGAGCCACTTTGAAGTCATCAAGAAAGTTGAGAAGAAATGGGCAAAGAAATACTTTTATTTTGTTTTAAATGCTGAGGTTTATAGGCAACAACAGACACTATCATTTTTTTTAAACTGAAAATCTTAAAATCATCTTTAAGAATGAATGTCTTTTAAGTAAATGTCAAACGGGCAGTTTTCTCAAGCTAATAGATGCATGATTTGATTAAAACTGCAACATAATACCTATCTTTCCCCAGATACTTTTCCTGATATATTTGAAAACAGTTAGAAATATACATAATTGGGGGAAAAAACATAGCTTAAACATGTGCAGATTTATTAGTAGTCCCTCTGATTTTAGTGGGATTCTTCAGAATGCATTTGCATAGGATTATAACATCTGTGTTGCTATGATACCAGAGTGATGATGTCAAGATGGCTTCAAGTACTTCGTATATTTGCTCTCCAGGATTTTGTAATTGATTCCAGTTGGCGGTATCGAAGTACCATTCTTACCCCCATGTTTCTGGAGACTCAGGCTTCCCAAAGTGCTATTAGGTATCACTCACAGGAAGGATATATGGGTGGCCAACTAAGAGCTACCCAGCAGCAGTACGAATTTACGCCCACCCAGAATATCAGTAAGTAACTTACACCATTATTTTAAAGCACTAGCACGTTGTAATGAAACTGTCAATCCAGAAGGGACACATGATTGTGTTTTTGCTGCATTAATGAATCATTCCATGCAGAATTATATTTTTTAAGTATGTTTTTGGATATTGGCTTCCTTTCATGCATGTTTTTGCATTTCATATAGTATATTTTGCATCTCAGTATTTCAGTCAAACCTCTCCTGATGCTCTGTTATCATTTTCTTTAGTAATTGGACAAAGTAAAGGAAGAGTATTTGTGGGTGAGAGGCTCCTTGCTTTTATATAAGCTTATATGTTCTTATGCTCTTTTTATAGGTGGAAGAAGCTCTTTCAACTGGCTAATAGGAAATAGTGTTGACACTTTTGCAGACTATACAGTTCCTTCCTCTTCTGAGTCGGTTTCTTCATCCATGTTGCTCATTAACAAGCGTACAGACAGATCTCACAAAACCGCCTTCAAACCATTAAGTCCCAATTTTGGGAAAAAAAGACTGGGTTTGCCAGGAGATGAGGTAGACAGTAAAGCTAAAGGTATTGTTGCTGTAAATCCAGTTTCTTTTTGCTCCTTTCCTTGTGGTTTTGCCAAACATCTTTCATGATCTAAATTAAATGGATAGTAAGTAGTTCCTAATCAGAAGCCATGCCTGTTTATATGAACATGTTCAAGGCCACAACTGAAAACAGCGGATAGGTGAGGGTAGCTATAGCCTTGCAGGAACTAGTGCATGAGGCTGCAACAATGGTCAGGGAATGCTAATTTAAGCAATTTAGTGTTTGTCAAATTATGTTCTTTGTTTAAGGAAACAACCACAAAAAACGTGACTTAAAGCATGACAGTAGGAAGGTTCCTAAAGGTATTCTAGTTCTGTCCCAGTCTCATTAAAAATCTTAAATTATATAATTTGTGAAATTCCCAGTTCCAAGTTTTGGGTAGCAAGGTTGAATATGTGATTTCTTAAATAGTTTTACTGTGTAGGTTTACGGGAATTTCCTTCTACATGCATTTAGGCATAGATGAACGTGCAGAAATTCTGAGACTACGGAGACGATTCTTAAAAGATCAAGAAAAGCTCAGTTTGATCTATGCAAGAAAGAGTGTTGCTGAACAAAAACAAGAAAAGGTTAGTTCTTCTAAATATGCCTGATTTGTGTGTTGCTATACTGGCATATGGAGTTTCAGTTGGTGGGGTGATAGTAGATTATAGGATATAATTATATATTTTAATCATGATACAGTTGTGCTTAAGCATGGTTTAAAAATAGGATTAAAATGGTCAGTAATCACAACTGGTTTGAGAATTTAAGTAGCAGTTTTTTTAGTAGGTCTGGATTTCCTGCCTGACCATCATAATCAGTGATCTTAGTGTTAGTAATGCAAAGAAAGAATTGTCTGAGGCAGCCATGCTACATATGGAGCCAACTTTTGGGACTCAGCAGATGCTTTATGAATGGTAGCATTCTCAAGGCATATGGATTTCTCTGGGTTGTGAGGCAACAAATGGATAAAGGAATAAATTTGGCCTTGAAAATTGGGAATTAGGTGTCAGTAACAGTGGTGAACTTCAGGTGAGCTGTCTGCCAAATCAGTGTGCTGTAAGCCTAAGTAAATTAGTAAATTCATATATGGGACTAAAGAATGAGATCTGGTTCCAACTTTCAGAGCAGCTAGAGCAGTGTTTTTCAAACTTGGCAACTTTAAGATGTGTGGACTTTAACTCCCAGAATTCCCTAGCCAACATGCTGGCTGGGGAATTCTGGGAGAGTTGAAGTTCACATATCTTAAAGTTGCCAGATTTGAAAAAGCACTGAGCTAGAGTATTTAATGAAAGCTCACCAGTTACTGAGTGATTCAGGATGGGTCAGAAGAAAATGAGTATGTTTCCTACGAGTTAAGAAGAGATGCCTTAGGGAAGTTTTGTGTGTTGGATTGTTATCATACTCTAACAGGGTAGATTGGATAAACAAAAGGTGTGCTATTGAAACATCTAAACTTTTTAATATTTTATGACGGTAGAAATGATTCAAAATTACTCTCTCCCCTCCCCCCCCCATAGCTCTGGGGCAAGCAAGTCTGGTGTTTTCCTCATGGGTTTACTGACAACATAGAGGAGGAATAATTTCAAGAGACTGAACTTCTCTTCAATCTCATTCACAAGGGAATCCAATCCAGATCAGTGGAGGAACCATATAATGTGTACCTGGCAGTTCCAGAAGTTTTTTTTTAATTTAGCTACCTTTTTCTGGACTAAAAAGAAACTTTGAGTCAAAGTATCTAAATGACAACTAAGGAAAACACAAGGCATAAAATGCATGTATGAATAGAAAGCCAATCTATCCTTTGTTGTGTTTTGCTTGGATAATGTCAGTTGAATGAACAAACACCTGTTCTGTCAGGCTTGGCTTTAGAGAGTGGGTGATAGCTCTTCCCATTATAAAGTTAGAAGTTGACTATGGAGATTTATGGGTTTTTAGATCCCTCTTTTTTATCCACACACATACATTTCTTAATAGTCTCATTTTTTTTACTCATTTTATTTTACTAATTAAATCAAAGTATCAATATCTGCTTTATTGCTGATTTTTTGGGGACTTTATGTTTTTTGTTTAAGTAAAAAGAGAGAGATTAGTATTTAGGGACAAAAATATGATAGCATGTGAAATGGTTCCAAAAAGCTTTAGAAGTTTACTTTTGTTTTTGCTGTGATTTCTACAAACCATAAAAACTAATGCATCTGTATGAATTATATGTATGCTATCATACTTTTGTCCCTAAATACTAATCTTTTTACTTAAGCAAAAAACTTAGGTACAAATCAAATCAAATTAGATCTTTATTACAGTCATAAACCAGCATTAGGAGGGTGGGGTACAGTCATTAAAAAAGCATAGAGGATACATCAGAGTAAAAATAAAAATCTTAAAAAATTATGAAAAGCTAGAAGATATATAAATTAAAAACAAACATATTTTTACATATATGTAAAAATCAAGAATCTAAAAGAAGGGATGTTGTTGTTGTTCAGTCGTTAAGTCGTGTCCGACTCTTCGTGACCCCATGAACCATATTGCGCCAGGCCTTCCTGTCCTTCACTGCCTCCCTGAGTTTGCTCAGTTTCATGCTC